TTTAAGGTAGTTGTAAGATGTACGATGATAGGGGGATTCTGATGGTAAAGAAGAATGAGATAATAGTTTTAGAGAGACCAAACCATGATCAGAAGCATCTAAGGGTGAGTGTGAAGAAACTGAGTACTGACTAGGATCAGAAACAAGACATAAGTCGAGTAGAGAAGGTAAATGATTTGGGTTGTCTGGAAAGCGAGTTGGAAAGTTGACTACTTAAGTTAGGGATTGAAAAAAGACAAAAGTTGTGGGCCTTAATGCCTGCAGAGTCACTGACACTAGAGCCTAGCCATTCAGTGTGATGAACATTAAAGTCACCGACAACAACAATATTCTCTGATAGATAAAGAATGAAGGCTTGGTCAATATAATCAGAAATAATATCAAGAAGAGTGCAGTCTTGAGATGAGGGAGAGCGATATAGAACAAAGAGAAAGGTGATAGAGTGAATTAATGCTAAACAAAAGCACAGAAAAGAGTAGTCTGTGGATTCAAACCTAGTTTCCCGACAAATTGGTGAATTCTTACGAATGTAAATGCCCAGGCCAAGCATGTGACTATTGGAGTCTTTACAAATTAAAGGAAGATAACCATCAACACTAAGATGAAACAGCTGAACTCAATTTAGTCTCACAAAGAGCATGTAGGTCTGGTGAACTTTGCAAAAGATAAGACTCAACAGAAGAAAAGTTACTTCGAAGACCACGAATATTGGTGAATGATAGGTCGAGCGAACTTGGTGATAACTGTGGATTTTTGTGTTTTATAGTTTTTGTTACTTTATTCATTTTTAAATTTGTTAAAGAACTTGTTTCGAAACATCGATAGTACTCAGTACACTGTTTTATAGCTCAAGCAATTGCCTCATTTCCACTAATAAACCCTAAGCCATAAGAAAAGGCTCCAATGTGGCCTTGGCGAACGCAACTAGTGGCATCACGAGATGATATTGATGAAAAGTTCTTGGCAAACAATTCAGCTTTGTCTTTTGGTGAGGTTAGTACTGCACACAACATCCTTGCACAACATGGCACTGTTAGTACTCTGATATTTTTCAGCTGTTGATGGAACCAGCCTCTCTGAGAGCTACGACAGAGTTCGGGAAACCTGACTACCAGCCGGCCTCAGAACCATTAAACTGAGTTTTAGAGCTGTACCCTCATTTGGAGATAATAGAATGAGTTGCCTTGTCATAAAAACAGAGACACAAGCAAAACCCATGAATCGAGTCAATAAGATCCAGCGTTTAACATCCTAAACTGGAAACAATGTATTAAAAATACATCTGCGCCAGCCTAATAGATGAAGAAGGGGTGCGAGGCTGGTCAACAGATAGAATCTGTTTACCCCTTAAGTCTTTGCCTAGGAGGCCTTCTACAAGACAGCAGCCGGATGCATGTAACATCTGCCCAAGATGAGTATTTTTATCGAGACACCATCTCTAGCTTTTACTCAACCAAGAGCTCCAAGGCAGGGGGTGTTTTATGTCGGAGTTTGCATCTCCTAGCCTTTGCCTTAAAAGGCATATCCTACAAGGCAGCAGGACATGAAGCAGATTGTATTGGGTTACATGTTACCAGTAGTAGGATAAACCTGACCTGACATCTATATATATATATATATATATATATATATATATATATATATATATATATATATATATATATATATATATATACCATGGCCTAATTTATTTATACGGCCGGATATTTTGCATTTTAAAGAAAAAAATAGAAGGCCAGTTTTTAAAATCGTAATGTTTCACAAACTTAATACGTTTTGAACATTTTCAAAATTATTTCACATTCTTAATTTAAAAAGTCCATATATTCACAATTTTACATATTAAACGAACATTTATTTAGAAATAAATAAATAGTTTTTATTTTAAAATTTAGAATTAGTAAAAACGATGTTTTTACTAATTCTAAAATCGATGTTTTTACTAAATTCTAAAAAAAAAGAAACAAGAACAGTTATAATAAATATTTAAATGTTTTTCTCTTTTCATTAAAAACCAAAATAATTATATTATATATAATTTGTTAAATTTTCTCCAGTTTTCTCTTTTTAAAAGATTTTACATGATCAACTGCTTTTTCACTGGTAGAGATAATTCTTTTATTATTAAGAAAAATGTTGACAACAATTCTTCCAGCAAGTTTTATCCCAGATTTCTCATGCACGGGACAAGAAAAAGTCTGAAGAGTCATAAAAGTGGTTTAAAAATTATTCTAAAGCTTGTCGTGAAATAAATTTTTTTATTTTGTTAAAAGAGTAGTCAATCATAGCAAAGGATGTGCAAACATAAAGTGAGGGTGAAGGAATAGTGAGACCATCCCTAGTGTGACCACCCCTAGTGAGACCACCCCTAGAAATAATTGTTAAATAAGTATGATCAGGATTGCTTTCATCAATATTGACACAACATAAAAATTCTTTACAGCATGTACCAAAACGTTTTTTAAGTTTCTTTGCTATATAACCAGCAATATATGCACCTACTTCCCTACTTTCTGGTGCAAGTGTCATGATGTCTAGAGTACACTGAGCTTTATCATTATCAAAAAGAAAGTTTATCAAATCTGTTAAATTATTTTTTGACTCAAGAGGTACTTTCAAACTATCATCAAAGTTAATACTTTCTTTAACTATACTTTTGTTTTTTAGTATTTTTTTAGAAATAGTGACATCTTTTGAACCCACCAAAAATCTTCTACCACCCACTTGTCTATATTGTCCAAATCTCCTTTTTGATGGGTCACTTTGAAATTTCGCAGTTAAAACATAGTGATATCCATCATTTAGCAAGTCCTCAATCAATGAGGCATGACTATTAAGTGTTCTTATTTATACTGCAACTATCTGAACACTTAAAGTAAGCTTCTCACAGCTTGGTATCTTTTGTGATTGCCAAACTTCAATCCAATGTGCCATTTCCGAAGATTTATGTTAAACATGTATATAACTAAGTTATATACATGTTGAATACAATCACCCTCCTAGCTCTTTAAAGCAACTTCCTCGTTCTATTCAAATAAGGCTGTCAGCTAGTTCATCTAATGAAAATATTTTTCGAAACTCATTTGATATGTATCAGGATGCATTAAAAAAATTTGGTTGCAAATTCAAACTTAACTATATTCCAAAACCTATCCAACCTTTATCAAAAAGTCGTAAACGCAATATAATCTGGTTTAACCCCATATATAGTAAAAAATGTTTCTACAAAAATTGGTAAACTCTTTTTGAGTTTAATAGACAAATACTTCCCAGCTGGCCATAAATACCACAAGATTTTTAATAGAAATACTCTAAAGGTGAATTACAGTTGTATCCCAAACATCAAATCAATAGTTAACTCTCATAACCATCATATAATGAAAAATAATACAATTGATTCAAATTAACATTGCATATGTATTATTAAAAACAAGTGCCCTCTAAATCAAAAATGCCTTGTAAATAACATAGTCTATCAAGCCCATTTGTACCCAGGCACTCCGCACGGAAATGAAAAAGTGTTTTTTGGAGTGAGTGAAACCAAATTTAAACTTACATACGCTAACTATATAAAATCTTTTAATATCGAAAAATATAAAACGATACTGAATTATCTAAGGAAGTATGGAGGTGAAAAGAAAGTGGAGTAAGCTCGGTATATATATATATATATATATATATATATATATATATATATATATATATATATATATATATATATATATATATATATATATATATATATATATATATATATATATATATATATATATATATATATATATATGATGGTTAGATTTGAAATTGTTGTCTATAGTGTAGCAAAGCGTTTACCCAAGATTTATTAGTTTTATAATCTTTATATAAAATCATGGCCGTCCAAAAAATATGAATTATAAAAAAGACAAATCCGAGATAAAAAATAAACTTTGAGTCAAAATGTTTTACTTTGCAGACTTCACTCAAACATTTTATGAAAAATCCCTTACTAAGAATATGTTTCCCTAGTTTGGTTCACTCAAACATTTTTATGAAAAATCCATTACTAAGAATATGTTTTGCTAGTTTGGTTTATAATGAAACTTTTTTCTTTTATTTGTAGAATTAGACTTATACTATCGAATTGCAATGAGTGTTGCAATGAATCGAATTGCAATGAGTGTTGCAATGAATCGAATTGCAATGAGTGTTGCAATGAATCTAATGTTTCAAATAAACTATTTAAAGTTGATTTTTAACCGAATTATCATAAAATATTTTTAAAATAAACAATTTTTTGACATGCCACTCTTTTCTTATGTATAATATAGGTTATAAACTTTAACATCGGAAAGTATGGCAATGTAAAACTTCTCCCTCAATTAGCAATATAGACAAATTTGAGCGTTTTTAACAACATCTCGTGCAACTTAAAATATTCAAAAATTTCAAGTTTTCTTAAATTTTTATTAGGGCAATATAATTAAAGAGAAGCTAATTTAATCAGATTTGTTGAAAAATTTAAAGTATTTTATTTCAAACCTGGCAAAATAAAAGTTTAACTTTTCGTTTTTTTAAAGCTTTTGAAAATCGCGTTTTTGACAAAAGTATCCTTGACTACACCGAGTACTCATTGATGTTATTTACTTTTGTCCTAACTAATGATAATAAATAAATAAATGCTTTCACGCATACTATGTATAACTTTTGCCTGATTTCACTCAACTAAAATAAAGTTCGAAATAGTTCAAACTTTTCTCCGTAATAGTTCAAATATGTTCATATTCAAACTTTTTAAAAAAAGTTCTAACTGGAAGCCCCAGTCTCTTTATAACATTAATAAAAAGAAGTTACTCCAATATAAAATTTGGTTTTCAAAGGTTTTGCTCGACTCTAGCCAAATTTGTACTGTTTAGAACAAATTTTAAGTAATCTTATAATTATTCTTGAGTATTATTTTTTAATTAGAAAAATATATTTACATTATGTACAAATCACATTTTTAAAAATGAATAAAAATATAGATTATAAAAATATCTATTATTTAATATATATTATAAAAACGTGCATTATAAAATAGTATTTGTAACTTGATTCAGTAATTTAAGTTATGTACAAACCGCATATAAAAAAATGTCTGAAAATATATATTATAAAAATTTATATTATATAATTAGGCCCGTATATTGGGGGGAGGAGGCAGCGCTTGTTTTAGGGGCCCCAAAAAAGTTTCAAGGACCTTTTTTTTTATTCCATTTTTTCAGTCGATTTTTCACAATTATTTATTTGATAAATTTTTGGCGGAGGAGGGGAGGGAGAAGCGAATGCCCCTGCTGCCCCCCCCCCCGTTGCTACGGGGCTGATAATATATATCATAAAAATATACTATAAAATAGTATTTGTAGCTTAATAAAAATAGTATTTGTAATATTGAATCAGTAAAAATCGTGTGAAACACGTAGTAAATAATATATCTCATAGAGATCCTAAATAATGAGCAGAGAAAAATGTCACTTTGTTTGAAATGAACCATTTAGCGTTTATCCAAGGAGAGTAAAGTGATAAACGATCACCATTTTTTGCATATATAAGAGTATTAATTGCTCCTGTATCAAAACTAGAACTCCATTTTGTTGATGCTATGACTTCGTTATTTTTACAAAGATGAAAGCTAGTTAACTTCACTGGTTGCCTATAATCTAGCTGCATCTATAAATAATATATAAAAAATCATATAATTTAATATTAAAAAATTTGTTAAAATAACTACTTTTTCAAAAACCACTTTTTGACAGGTGTCAAAGATAAGTTAAAAAAATAATTATATTAAAACTCAAACCTTCAGCGCAAAAAATAAAAAGTAAAATTCAAAAATACTTAATGAAACAGCTTCGCAAAAATGTTCAGATAAATATTATTCTAACTTGCTCTAAAAGCACAAACATGATTTAAAGCACGTCTAGCAAATTATGAGAATATTTACAAAGAAAATGAAAGGTAATACATCTTTCAATAAAAGTTAAAAAAAGAAAAAAATTAAGTGAATCAAATGATAATTCAATTGAATAAAAGAAATTTTTTTACAACCATGGGAACAAAGTTATTTAATAATATTCCATACACTAACGATAAATAGTGGTTTAGAGTTCTGAATCACAACCAAGAAATTCGATTGAATCTTGCGAGGTTTGTTGCCTACTCTGGTTAGATAAGCGACATTGATAATGAATTTCCTAATTTAAATGCTCTTCCACGATACTCTGTGATAAGATTTTCAGGGCTTCTTGGAGCGCCTTAATAGATAATTAAAAAAAGTTGAAGTTGTTTCAAAAATCCAAGTGATTCAAACATAAATTTTACTGAGCTGACTTATATTGAACTTGAAAATGTTTTGAATCAGTAAAACTTTAATTTACTGACCATCATTCAATAAAATCTTCCAGATCATCTAAAAACTGATAAGATAACTCCTACCTTTAAGACCGGAAATCATATTCATATAAATAACCATCCACCTACTTCAATGATTTCACTTTTATAAATTCCTAAACTTTTGCTCATATCTTATTAACAATAAATTGGTTTATGAAAAAAAGTTTAAATTTAAGTAAACAATAACTAAGCATGTCATTCTCCAATATAAGCACATCTCTAAATCTTTCAAATCTCTCATTTAACATTGTGAGGGTTTATAAACATGTCCGACGCTTTTGTCAATCATAAAACCTTATATTTAGTTGATTCAGAAGCTGTTTGATTAATCACATGTAATATGTTTACAATTAAAACTCCACCTTTCAGATATTGTTGAATAAATCATGTGGTGTTAGGCAAAGATCCATACTTAAATCGTTACTCTTTTTAATGTACGTTAATGATCTTAATAAAATTTTGAACTTAATTTTAATTTGTGGAGATCTTGAAAACTTGTTTTTATCTCATGAAAGTATAATTTAACTTTTTAACAATATGACAAACGCGTTTAAAAGAAGACTCAGATCGGTACAAAATAGTTTAGTTGTATTTATTATATTTTAATGATCAATGCAATTACAAATTGCATTGATCATTAAAATAGAAAAAGTTATACAATTATAAATATCAATGAAAATCTATCTTTTCAAAATCATATTAATTGTACCTCCACTAAACTTATTAAAACGGTCGGTTTATAAATACAGCTAAAAGAAGTAGTAGTTAACACAATTATATATAATTATAAATACAGCTAAAAGAAGCAGTAGTTAACACAATTATATATAATTATAAATACAGCTAAAAGAAGCAGTAGTTAACGCAATTATATATAATTATAAATACAGCTAAAAGAAGCAGTAGTTAACACAATTATACATAAATATATGAAGTGTACCGGATTTCATATCAAGTATATTTCAAAGAAATGAAAGCCTTGAATACATTTCAACTAAATGTATATAACATTTATACTTCACGTTAAAATACGAAAAAAATGTATGATTTAGGTACTGATAAATATATCTTAAGGCTCCTTTTTGCCAAAATAAATATGATCATGTGTATTGTAGACCATATCTCTGAAATAAAATAGTTATGCCTAATATTAATTCTTCTTTTATTTTAAACTTCCCATAAATATAGTTTAGTGGTCATCGACAAATTATGTCACGTCATTTTTTACTGTTTTTTTTTTACCTTCCTACTGCCAAACTCTAAACGAATAACTAATTACCGAAAAATAACTACCAACCAATTAAAACTAGAAACCTTGATTTTTGATTATTGTTTTAGTATTAGATTTATTTAAGAATTAGTAAATTACGTTTTCATTTTGTGTATAAAAATTGTTTTTTTAAGTATATACGTACATATATCTAACTCAACAAAAAATTTTTACATGCAAAACATATTAACAAGGTAAACTATACCTGAGCATTAATTTGATAAAATCCATCAAAATGAATTAGTAAGTACGAATCGTTTTGCAATGATATCTTTCCAGATTTTTTTAATATCTTCCAAATAAAAAATGTACCTATAATTAAATAAAACGTTTATTACTTATGTGAATCAAACATATTAAATGGTTTATTAGTAATTATAGCAATTCACCAACAGAATTTTGTTCGGAGACTGGAAACTAAATGTTTTTTACTTTTATTCTAAAATTTAGAATGAAAGTATAACCAAAATTTTTAAGTCAGGTCATTAGATTATAAACATTTTTCTTTAAAAAAGTGCATGTAAATGAAGCAAACCATGTTCAAGTTCCTATGATAGGGAAAATATGGAAATAGGAAAACCCATATTTTACCAAAATTTAACTGAATTTTCATGATATGGAAATATAAAAAACCATATAGATTTCTAGCTCATTTTCAAAAGCTTTTTGGAGTAAGCTCCAGAACTCTAACCTACTGCGCCACGATTACTTTTAAATGCGATATTCAAATCCACTTGCTTTTTATAGCTGATACTAGTTCAGTATCTCTAAAAATAGATCCTATTTACAAGTCTGGGGTTGAAATGAAGTCAACTTATGTAGGGATTGTTGCAACCGTCTCCTCGGTATAATTAATAGCTTCTTTAGCAAATTCTTTATCTGATGATTTGATATTGACACTATTCAATATATTGTTTAAATTATGTTCCATTACGTTTTATATTGAAGCATTGCTGACATTAATAAATATTTAAAACCATTATTGATTTGTGACATACTTTAGCTTTTATATATTTACTTCGCCGTTTGACTATAACTACAATACTATAACTACAATAACAAAATAAATAAATAAAAGATATACATAATATGGGAAAAAAAAGACTATAGCTGTCTTATCACTAATCCCCGTTCTATATACTATACAGTTGTGGCCAAAAGTCTGTTGTATTCGTGTTTTTTTTTAACAAATTTAAAATTTAAATGGACACAGTGTCTCTAACACATCTCATTATTCTAATGACTCACTCGTTTATGAAAATATAAAAACTCGTTTATGAAAATAGCGCTCTACCACTACACCACTACCGCATACATTAATATGTATGCGGTAGTGGTGTAGTGGTAGAGCGCTCGCTTCATAAACGAGTGGTTCCCCACCACGTCCCTGGTAGTACCGCGCTCAACTCGTTTCTCCGCGCAGCAGCCTTGCTCGTCAAGGTTCGTGTTTCGGAGTTATAGAGTTGAGAGAGGGTTATAACCACAAATAAGTAGCCTCCTCGTCTGTAGTGGCCTTCTCGGCCTTGAGGAGGTGAATTAAAAAAAAAAAAAATTTATATATATATATATATTGTTTTACATACTACTAATATCCGCTACACTGTCCCTTATTCATAATTACTTTAACAATTCTTGCAGGCATAGAATTTACGAGATTTTTACAAACATCAGCGGTTACGTCTGTTTACCACACATATGTAATGATGGCAAAAAGATCATCTTAATTTGATGGTTTCTCTTTATCAACCTTTAGTTTTATTATATGCCATAAGTTTTCAATGCCGCGGCCAAAGACCTAGAACCTTAAGCCCATGATCCCGAAGCCATTTTTCACTAAAGCTGCTTGGTGGCAGGGAACACCGTCATGCATAAACAGTTTGCAGTTGTGAATCTGTATAACTGTCAAAAGCTTGTCATCCAGTATGGTAATATATTTTTGTGCATTCATACACTATTAAAAATTCCCGTACTTTTACGGAATTATTTTCCGTTATTTGTACGGAAACTACCCATTTAATTTTACTGACCGATGCGATCTCCAACGGAAAAATAGTTGTACTTTAAAATAAAAGAAAACTCTGAGATTTTTAATAACATTTAATAACATTTGTATTTAATATTTATTGATAATCATGTTATTAATAACAATATTTTCGTATAATATCGATGTAGCAGCACTCCGTTGCGAGTCAGGCTATTTGTCAGTCGATGTAGCAGCACTCCGTTGCGAGTCAGGCTATAAGATAGTCGATGTAGCAACATTTACGCATGTTTTAAAAATGTTTTTTATTAAATCAATAACAAAAACACTACTAATTAAAAAAAACTTTCTAGTCGTTATAATTGCGGTTTTTTAAAAATTTTTTAAAAAACACTTAAATTTAATGTACTTCCGCATAAATTAATTGCTTTGACATTTCGATGACAATCAAAAACAGCTTAAGAGACGAGGTAATTAAAATTGTAGTCGTAAGAGACTTTTTTTACATTAAAACGCTCTTTCGACTACACTATATGGGTATATATATATATATATATATATATATATATATATATATATATATATATATATATATATATATATATATATATATATATATATATATATATATATATATATATATATATATATATATATATATATATATATATATATATATATATATATATATATATATATATATATATATATATATATATATATATATATATATATATATATATATATATATATATGTATATATATATATATATATATATATATATATATATATCAGGCTTGGTCGTGAAGCGGGAGCGATCGCTCTCAAATACTGACCACGGAAATTATATCTAGTTGCGATAAACTGGCCAGGTTTTTTAGTCGTTTTGAGAACCTTTAAGTTTATTTTTGTTTTACGGACATACATGGAAACATAAACAACTTGAATGTTCTCAAAATATCTTACACTAAAATCCCGGAACAAACTAATTTTATTGGTTTAAAAAATACGCTGACTAAGCGAAATAAAGTTTTAGAGTATTCTGTTGAAATGTTTTAGAAATTGTATCATTCGCGATTTGTTACGTTTTTGAGATTTCTAGCATAAATTGTTTTAAGAATATATATTATTTGTTTACAAAAATAAATGTTTTAAATATATATTAATTAAATTGTCAAAATTTTAAAAGTTTATTATAAATTATATATTTTATTAGTATATTCTTATTTTTTATTTAAAAAGTATGTATTCTTTATGTAAATGTAATTGTGTGTATCTGTTTTTTATCGTAATGTATCTTTTAAAGCAATTATTATTATTTTGTAAGTCTTTGTTTAAACAAAGACTTACAAAAATATTTGCGTTTTCAATGAAGTTATAAACGTCCAAATTAATAAATTAATTATGTAACAAACATATAAGAAGTTTCTGGTTACTAAACACAAACAATGCATATGAAGAAACTCGCGGATGAACAAGCACCGCGTACGACAGAACACAAATATTTATAGCAAATAACTAGATACAAAGAAAAGTTTCTAGATATTGGTTTACTGACTCTAATTATTTTCGCTTAAGTTGCCATTCTTAAAACACGTTATACTTTTTTCTGCTTTGAATACTAATTAAAATTAAAAAGTCCACTCACTAAACATCATCAGCGATATTCTGAAGCAGTTTCGCTTCCTCGTCATTAAGTATTTTTAACCTTTTTAGTTGATTTTTATTTTGTTAATTTAACTTCTACAGTAATTCAATGATTTAACTATTTCATTTGTTTATCTTACTTAGAAGAATTGCTTCAAACTTTTTTATTTATAAAATAATTTTAGCATTTTAGCTTAAATAAAACTAATATATATATATATATATATATATATATATATATATATATATATATATATATATATATATATATATATATAAAATATATATATATATATATATATATATATATATATATAAATATATATATATATATATATATATATATATATATATATATATATATATATATATATATATATATATATATATATATATATATATATATATATATATATATATATATATATATATATATATATATATATATATTATAAAATATTTATACCATTTTTGTGTTTATATTTAGATAAATATATATATATATATATATATATATATATATATATATATATATATATATATATATATATATATATATATATATTGTTAGATCGACTTAAAGTGGCCTTTTCATTGGTAAAAACTTAACTTAAAGTGGACTTTTACTTAAAGTGGACTTTTTTGAGTCCACTTTACGTTTTTGATTAGTTTTTAGACTAAGTTATAGCTGTTGAAATGTTAATAGCAAGTTTTTCTAATCGGACTATTGCTTCTATAAAGGTTTGCGGATAGGAAGTTTTGTTTTAAAAGCATAATTTTGAGTTTAAGTGTTTGTTATTTTGACCATGTATATTTCGTCACTGTACAAAAAAACACTTAAAGTGGATCTACATTTTGAGACTAGGTTTTGTGTATAAATCTTTA